TACCTGGTCCTCACCCCAAGAATGTTTGTATATAGTAGCTTTTTCCCTGTGCCCCTTTTGTATTTTTTTTTAATCACTTACCTCAGCGGACTCATGTTGTACTTATCCTTTTGTGTATTGGCAATAACTTATATAGCATATACTTCAATGGTCCATTCGTTCAATCATATCAAGGTGAATTGTATAATCATTACATATCAATTTTAGAAACAACTCCCCAACCCCCGTGGTTAAATCACATTTAAAATGAGTTGTACAATCACAGTCAGTTCTAGTATTCCCTCCCCTTCACATCTTCATTTCCCACTCCCAAAATCCCCCTTCCCTCCCTATCACCGTCTCCCCACCCCTGCATCCCTCATTAACCCCTGTATCCATTATTGTCACTACGAATCCACTCCCCCTGTGAGTCACAAACTGGGAAACCCAACAAACAAAAAGCAAATTAGAAATATGGTGGTAAGGGTAAAATAATAACATAAAGACCAAAATACAAACTATGAGTGTGTTAGTCTGGGTAGACTAGGGAAACAAATCCAGGGAGACTCATGCGTGTTAGAGAGAACTTTATAGCAAAGAGCAATTGTATTAAGCTCAGCCCAGTCCTCTTCATCCTCACCCCCAGCGCCCCAAACCTGTCTCTATGGGCCTCAGCCCAGCCAGCCACAAACAGAGCCACAGCCTCCACTTCATAACCCTTCACCTCCCACCCTCGGGAGGGGGGTTCTATGATGTCACAGCCCAGGGTCATTCCATCACCAAGTGGTGATCACCAAGAGGTGTTAGGGGAGGGGAAACAGAATGTACTAGGAACTGGAGTCCCAGGAGGGAGTGGGACCTTTGAGTTACCGGTGTTACTTAAACAGGAACAATGGCAACCCCCAAATGGATAAGGGGGAGGTGGGCACCCTGGCTGAAAGCAGGCCTCAGGGACTGGCATTTGTAGAGCGGCACGTAAGGATGAGGAAAGGCTGGCTGCCTGTCCTTGCCCGCAGCCCAGAAAACCACCCTCAGGGCCACCGAGTCCATTCTGACTCACAGCGACCCCATGCGACAGAGGAGAACTGCCCCTGTGGGTTTCTGAGACTGTCACTTTTTAAAAAATGGCTTTATTGGCACATAACTTTAAAAAAAAAAACATTTTATTAGGGGCTCATACAACTGTTATCGCAATCCATACACACATCAATTGTGTAAAGCGCATTTGTACTTCAT